ATGTTGTAGTACAATATAATTAGTATGCGGACCATTTTCATTTATATAGTGACTCTGTGAACACAAATTAGTTAGCATAAACCAGTTAAGTGACGAAAAATTAGGTGTCTATTTACAAGTAAACAATCTGGAAAGAAGTTAGAGTAAGAGAAGTAAAATAAACAAACAGCTTAAACACAGAGGAGTAAGGAATATAAAGAAAAAGCTTTTGATGTGTTTTTTAGAGATACATATTTATATATAAAGATTGTTTTGTATCATAGGTATCTAAAACATGGTGTAGGTTTCTTTGATATGTTTTAGAGATACATATTTATATATAAAAATTGTTTTGTATCATAGGTATGTAAAACATGGTGTAGGTTTCTTTGATATGTTTTAGAGATACATATTTATATATAAAAATTGTTTTGTATCATAGGTATCTGAAACATGGTGTAGGTTGCTTTGATATGTTTTAGAGATACATATTTATATATAAAAATTGTTTTGTATCATAGGTATCTAAAACATGGTGTAGGTTTCTTTGATATGTTTTAGAGATACATATTTATATATAAAAATTGTTTTGTATCATAGGTATCTAAAACATGGTGCAGGTTTCTTTGATATGTTTTAGAGATACATATTTATATATAAAAATTGTTTTGTATCATAGGTATCTAAAACATGGTGTAGGTTTCTTTGATATGTTTTTTCAAATTATCATTTAAGATCTTTTTTTTAAATTTGCTTGTTAATAGTTTTGTATTTAGTTTAGAGGATGGGACAGACGATATGGACTAATAGGTCCAATGTTGTCCCGAAACATTATGTTATGTTATACAATAATAAAATACATTGAATTTATACGAGTTATTTTTGTAATCCTTTATCCTTTCAAAATTCTTTAACCGGCTTAAGGGATTTTTTGGCCACTGTTGTTTCGTCCTCGTCATCAGTAAAAGTTGTTTGTCCTTAGCAGACCCTGGTTACCATATACTCACCACACATAATCCAATTAACAGTAACACGGATGATGGTACACAGAATCCGGAACACACGAGTAGCATCACATTCAACCCAAGCAGCACTGAAACAAACAAATTTATTTTCTAAGAAAAAAAACACATTTTGCCCCAAATGGTTTTAAAACTATAGAAATGTAAGACAGCTTACCCCTTCCTTTTGTCTGTAATACTTAACGCCCCCCCACATACATATACCAGTAAAAAATAATCCAATTTCTCACTCTCACTATATATTAAATCTTGTGGTGCACCACAGTTTTAAACAGACACGAGTATACAGTAATCTAAGTTTAATGTGAGATAATGCGGACCTATTGAAAAGGATGTATACGGTATTTTAAAATTTGCTTTATATGAATTAATACCTAGCGCCCACTTCCCCAGGATACATTCCACGTCCCTCCTTGTAGGCGTGACCTCACCAGTTTGAGAACCACTGGTTTATTTCACTTACAAGCAGGCGCTTGTTTCACTTGTTTTGAAACTTGAATATTTTCAGCACGAGATGGGAAAATGTCCTTACGTGTGTTTTATAGAATTGTTTTTTAATGACATATTATTCTTGATACAGAAAATGTAATAAAGTAAATTATGGTGTGGAATGATTTCAGTAGATATTCTGGAGAAAAGTCAACTTCTAGAATGCTAGTTTCTTCCTCAGAAAATAAACATAGTTTTAATATAGGACGTCTAGGTCTCCCAGTCCCTTAATGCAGTTTCCTAGCACGTACAGTATTTCAGTTAAGAGTTAACTTTCTCACAAGTCACTTGTTAATTCTAAACCGAAAGCTGATTGTTCTTTGTATTGGGGCACATTACCTTAATAATAAAACAAATAATCACTTGCTTGTATTATACGTTAAACTTGAGTTGTTCAGATCTGTGTTTCAGCTGAATCTGTAATAAAAGATTTTTTTTCTATATGTATTTACGTTCAAAATATTTTCATTCGTATTTGCTGTTTATAGCCACACGCTTGTGTAGTGGGTTTTCAGCCGCGGATTTAGCACTTGGGTTTTGTTCAATTTACGATGGTAATTGTGGAAATACGAAAGATATTTGCTCACAACCGGTAATAAATTCCATGCAAGAACCAACTTTAGTTTCGATCTTATAACATAAGCCACGCTAGATCATTAAGAGTGGCTGAAAAGTCCGCAAAAGAGGGTTTAAGGCTATCTAAAAAAGAATAAATTATTTACTTCAAGCTATTTCTCACACCTAAACACTAACAAAACTCGTTTGAATAACATACTTTATCACTGACTTAGCTCGTTTCTCACTTGGTTCTGGTAACGACCGTAATGTAAATGTGATATCCAATATTTCACTTCAGATCTCATGTTTCAGGTGGTAGTGCGTTTAAAACAAAAACAGCTATCTTCTTATGTGTGTGTGTATATATATATATAAACACACACACGGTATTAACTTGCCGTAGTAGGGGAGTTTTAATAAATTTACTACATTCTGTAGAAAAAGAATCTCTGGAGCTGTTAGTGGCCTGTGTTTTCTTTTATTAAAGTAGGCATAAACATTTGTTCCTTGGCACTGTCTTTTAAATAAATTGATCAGTTATGGTGAAATTAATGAATAAAAAAGACCAACTGGAATTTTCTTCTGCAGTTCTTTTCTTGAATCGACTACTGCCTGTAAAAAATCAGTGGAAGTGCATTACAAAAACTAATATGGATTTTTTTAAACTGTTGAATTAACTGCAGAAAATTTATGATTTTGAAAGGCTACAACAAACGAAATCATCACCATATAGATTTTTTCCGGCCGTGAGCTAAAATACTTGATGTCTCAAAACTGTTTGTGAGAGACTACCTGGTATTGTACATTCCTCCTTAATACATACTCAGGAAGGCATAGCTGCTAACCTGCCTAGAAGCTAAAAGACTCGCTGTATATTATCAAACTCAAAATCTAACAACTTGTTCTAAAGCACGCCAGATGGTGGAGGGTAACCACATGATGATAAACTCGAGACAACAGACAAAAATAGATTACACTAATTTGTATGTCAACAATATATGATGAAAACTCTTGATCTGGGGATAAACTTTTAGAGCTTCATACACGCATAGTCGTTGATGTTATTAATTTATGACCCGTGAAAGGTTGTAAAACTGATTAGAAAAGGGTATAAAGTGTACGATTTAATTATATTTTCACATTATAAGCTTGTAACCGTGGTTATTACAGTAGTGTCACTACCATTACGAAATTAGCCCATCTGCCTTTTTTAATGGAATTTTTTGCTTGTCTACTTGGATTTCATTAATGCTGCGTAAGGTCAGCAGTCTCCAATTTAGAACTTATAGACAAGAGGGAGAGACAGTTAGTCAACACCACCCTCAGCCAACTCTTGCCAGAATGAATAGTGGATTAGTGTGATATAATAGTTGATGGTATTCACTGTCTGCGCTTATCACTTCTCATGCAAAGCACTGATTATTATATACAAGTATTTCATACAAAATAGTTTATGAAACCGTGTTTTTGCCTAACTTATTAGTACTGCAGAAATTCTAATAGCCAAAAAGTAGTTTGCATACGACTTTAATAATTTACTTTCTACATAGGATTTTTAGCTGCTATTGTAAACGAACAAGGTTGTCGTGTTTTCAGTAAGAATATAAGTCTAAATATATCTTTAACACAACAACAACAAAAAAGACAGCTTGTGTGAGGTTAAAAACAGAAGCATGAAATATTTCGCAAGTGTCCAATGTGTCGTTATTTAAAACTTCTCTTCGCAGTGAAAAGTGTCTTAAAAATTAATAATGCAGACTTGTTGTCACTTTAATTAAAACCTTAGCTTTTGCCTATGGATTCCGTACCCCATTAGTAACCATGGTAACAAAACAGTATTCCCGCAGCAATCAAGTAAAAAGTACGGACCTAATCCACGTGGGACGGTTAACGTGTGAGACTAAACACATGCACGTGGTGTGTATACATGTGTGTTTTGAAAAGATGGCGGGTTACAGTTGGTAGTTTGAAAGATAAGCTGTAAAGAAGTAACATGGTAGATGGTCAACAACAGTTGATTGAGATTGATAGACAATCAGCTGAGTTTCACTTACTGTGTGTGTGTGTGTGTTTTGAGTTGTCTGTTACTCACTACGGATAGCCTTCATTCATACATATATACTTGAAAGATGAATTCTAACGCTACTAATTTATAATTTCTTCTATTCAGCGGACAAATTATTTGAATCATTGTGTAAAGGCCAAGAGTAGACTTAACCCCTTGTTTTTTATTTCCTAAATTCAGTAATTTGATGATTGAAAAAAATATTCCTTCAAACAAAGTCTGATGAATGATGTTGAATAAATCATTATTATTATTGTTGTTATTTATTATCTAATCAAAAACACCTTTGGTGTGAAAAAAAAAGGTGCAGCCAAAAAAGCATTCAGCGTGCGACTTAAAGGAATGAGATCAAAATTCGTGGCCAAACTGCTAGCTAAACTTGTAATACTGATAAGGATTTTACTGCAAATATTCATCCATTAGTTAGCTGGGCCGCATTTTTTGTTGTACCCACCATCAGGCCCTCGTTCAAGATGCGGCTTATATTTACACCAAATGAGACACCTAGTTGTAGGTTAAGATCTATCAGTGTACCAATTTTGAAAATCTCAATAAAAGTTAAGTATGTTTTTCTATCAAATAAATTTTCTGTACTTTTGGTGCGAAGAAAAAATAAATAGGAGATGTTATATCTCAGGTATTTCTAAATCGATTGCCTTGAAACTTGGTATGTGAAGTAAGGGTCCATCGAAAATATGTGATAGTTTAGATTACCACAGTCCGAGATAAAGTAAGTGTAATATCGCTAAACTATCACTCCTGTTAAGTGAAGTAAGAGTCCATTAGCGCACAACCATCGAAAATATGTGATAGTTTAGATTACCACAGTCCGAGATAAAGTAAGTGTAATATCGCTAAACTGTCACTCCTGTTAAATAACACACAGAGTGTTTGTCCTGCGGCAGATTGCTTTGTCCGCTCGACATACTACTGTTTGTATTGATTCGCACATCTATACGAACATAGGTTACATAAGGACAATTCAAACAGCATACATTGCTGCTAATAATCACAAGAGGCCTGGTTTTGGCCTGTGGATTGCAGTTACTCGGCGTTACTGACGAGGAATAACATTCCTCAAAACCGATCTAAGTAGCACGTGACAACTATAAATATAGACAAAAGGTATTCGAACCTGCTTGGTAAACAGAAATACTAGTTCCAATCATTTCAGTTGTAAAACCTTAAGAAAAATTTCTTACTTCAAAGGACGTGTGTCATCTTTAAAATTAATACATATTTAGATCAGTTTCACCATACCTCATGAAATATCATTAATACAACAAAGGAATTTCGAGTTTCAACCAGAAACATAAAAAACTATCCTTACTTTTTTTCTTTTAACGTTAAGCACACCCAACTAAATTCATAAAACTTAAGGTTAGAATAATTTTAACCTAACTTCACTGTAAGCCTAATGTGATCTCTGATGACACATCTGGAACTATTTTTATTTCAGTATAACCGTCTAGCGTATTAAAGATATTAACTGTTTTACTGGTTGTTTAATTTTCATTAGTCTCTGCCTCACAAGCTAGCCCAGCATCTGTTAGTGCTGAGCCTAGGATAGTCAACAAGGGGGTGATTCCGGAAACCTGTAATTTAAGATTATTTCGATAGATCTCGATGAAGGAAGCTCGGCACAATTTCTAAAACAAAAACAAACTAAATATTAATGAAATTAATACATTATGAAATCTATATGGACTATACTATGGTGGTACCATACTGGGCATTACATCATCCTTCTTATATTTACTCTTCATTACAGAAATGGCATTTTAAATTTGGGAATCACTAGAAACATCATCTTGTAATGCTTCAACTTCAACACTGCATCTTTGGGCTTTTCTGTGCCGTTAGTTTCACAAAATATTGAAACTAATGATTCCTTATATATTATTCTAATCCACCTTTTTGAAAATAACGATACTATTGTGCCTGTTTTTTTTTTGTTTTTTTAATGTTTCACTTCAATGCAGTAATCAATTGATGAATCTCTAATTCAGCTGGTATATCAAATCGATTGGGATATCTTTCTTCAAGTTCTTCCCTCATCCGACCTGAACCCACAGCTTAACTTAATCGCTACACTTAAACCATCATATTCACAACCACATCTAGAACATTTCAAGCATGTTTCATTGATACATCGTTTTACTTTACATTTACAAGTTAACTACTCCATGTTGGATCTCATGGTCTCGTGTCCAGCGACCTAGGCCTCGAAAATAGTGTTAACCATCTGTTTTTCTTTCTTTTTTTTATTTTATTTGCTGATCAAAACAACTCAGACCTTTCCGAAATAACTTTGTTTTTATCTACATTAAGATGCTGGGCTGGCTCGTTTGTCAGGTATTAAACTAAACCAATCAAATAAAATAACTCGCTAATTCAAAGACTAGAAGTCAGATCCCTTGACTTACCTGGATCATCCAAGTCTGTTATTACATGGAAAGTAGCAAGCGTAATCGCAACCGTATACAGGCCCTGAAAAATGAATGTATGATGACACTTTAAGCCTATGAAGAGATAATCGTACATCAGTTAGTAAACGATTTGGATGTCTATGAATACTGGCAGCATGCATATAACGTCTTGTTTAGGTGTTACAATAACTTCTTAAAATAAAGTTCACTTGCAAGCCAGAAAAAAAAAAAAATATATATATATATAGTACTAGTCATGCAATAAGGAGAAGGGGAAGAAATGTTGTAAAACGGTTCTTTAATTATGTCGGACACAAGACGAGGAAGCGAAGGTTGTTTTTGTTTTTCTCGTAAAGAAGTAAATATAGTATCTGAAATGTTCCGACATTGAGTCAGAAACAATTGGAATTGGGTTACAGATAATGAAGTCAGTAAAAGCAACAATGCGATTTCTTGTCGGGTAAAGAATGACTATAGCTTTCTTTATGTAAGTTGTTTAAAAATGTTTGAATCAAATCACAAGTCATCCAATAAATGAACTAGACAGTGTTCGTTATTAAACAATTATCTTTACACTCTTAATACATCGTGTCTCACAGCTAATTAGGGCTAATAAATTCTAACGGCAAATAATATTGTTGAAACTATCATGATCAGTTATATAATGGTTCTTCGGCACACTGACTGCCACGTGTAATAAAAAATGTTGAGACAAATATCTGAAATTGTGACGAATACAAATTACATTCGGCAACTGATTTACACGAAATTCCTTCAAAGTAACATTCTTAATTCAGAGATATGCCTGGTTTATCTAACGATTGAATCTTACAATTACTCTGGCGTGTACGTGAACTGTAATCGTTGGTTACTATGGTGACAATTTACCTCCAGCTGAAAGTGCGTAACCGAGGAAATCGAATTTATTAAAATCCGAAGAATTTTGTGATAACGTAAAGGATTAAATGCTCTAGGGAAGTCGAAGTAACTACAATGATAATAATAAAATCTTCACTGTTTATTCCGGACTTGTTGATAACCTAACACTTAGATGTCAAATAGCCATCTCTGATTCTGAAATTACAACACTATATGGAAGGGTTCGTTTGTTTATTTTTTTTGGGGGGGGGTGCAAAGTCTGGGCTATCTGCTGTGTGTACCGCGTGGAATCGAACCCCTGGTTTTACGGACTTGAAACGTAACTGCCCCACTAAGAGACAGAACAGCAGCTAGTCAACAACTAGCAGAGGAAAGAACAGCTAGTCAACATTACCCACGGCCTAAAAGTGAGGAGCGCAATTGACAATTATTAGTATTTCCTTTTTTTTCGGGAAAAGATATTCGAACGATCCATTGATTATTACGCTAATCAAGTGGCCACGTTTATTCCGTCACACTGTTCACATTTTATGTGTTAAAATAAAAACATCTGAAAATGAAACTGACATCTTGTACAGTGAGTTGTTCTCGACTTATGGTAATAAGTTGTATATTGTATCACCTTACCCCTTCCATCACTGTGGTCTATGACTACACAGGTTAGATGCCCTGCCCTCTTCTTGTTACTCGGTTGAAGTGTGGTGATTTGTAGAAATGGCGCCTAAAATTAATCCCTTCTTTAAGGGTTACGTTATAGAATTTGATAGCGAGAAATTGTATTTATTGATAATAAAAGTATGAAAATTATGAATTTGTATCGTTTTGAAGAAAGGAATATCTTTACTGTTGAACGTATTGTTAAAGAAAGTGAAATCAGCAAAAAAAAAAAAAAAGATACAAGTAAAAACTGGAAAGTAAGTTGACGAACAAAATGGCCCATTTCAGTTAGGGCAGGAAAGTTTCTTGAACTGTGAACTAGATAATCCATACGGCTTTAGGTCTACAAAAATATTCAAGCGGTGTTCACAAGCTTCTTCCAAAGCACATGGCCATTCAGAAGAACAGCTGTGTAAAGCTATACGAACGGAATATACATATGTCTGCTTAAGTGATTCCTGACGGTCTAGATACTTAGCCTTAAATTGGGAATATATCTCTATATTTGACTATTGCCTGTAAGTTCTGATAGCAAGAATAAACTTGTTTGTATCTTTCAAGTGTGACAGATTTATTATTATATATTTATTTTAATATCGATGTTTGTTTACATTAAATTCATATTTAGAAATGTACATAACGTATAGTGTTAAATATGCATTGCGAAACTCCCGCCTATTCTCTAAAGTTGTAGAGGATTCTCGAGTGTAACAATCAACAGTATACGTGTGTATATAAACACTAGTGTAGCGTATTAGTATTGTTACGTAAGCTGAAGCTTCGAGAAACTCTCCACACGCCTATAAATATAAACAACGCGACACGCCTAAAAACAGTATCTATTATTGGGTTGCTATACTGGGTGTGCTATAAACTTCTTAAGCTATAACTGTGATTAACGTTTATTAATCGTGAACTTCAGATATATTGACCAGGGAATGTTTATAAATTTCGAACATTAGAAATCATTCAACTTCGGTGGATAAACATCGGACATAAGTACTTTTACGAAAATATTATCTAACGTCATTGGTGGAAAAAAATCGGCGTGTGCTCAGTGAAGACAACAGAGCTAGCTAGCTCCCTATTAAGTGAATTGTACCTACATCAACTCTAAATTAACATCGAGGAAGTTCCAAACTAGAAAGAAAACTATATTGCACGTAAGTTTGTAAAACTTTTGTATATAAATCACTTGACCAACATTTTGTAGTTTCAAAACCATGTTATCTGTGAATCTGTAAAACTGAACTTTTGGACAAACACGGTTTTGACATGTTTGCGACGATATATTATTACTGGCTGGTTTCTAGGAAGAAATAAAAACATTTCATGAAGTATAATATGTTGAAGAGTAACGTTGCCACATAAAATTTTACAATTCAAGTTTTATAGCCTCATCTTGAATAAAACCCCTCAGGTAATTTTCTTATGTCAACATCTCACAGCAACGAATAGCACATGAGATGATTGATTGGCCTTGTCTGTGCCTGCAGTTTTTAGTGGCTGAATGAGTCGAACTCTCATTGGGGTTCGTATATCATGTCTCAAGAAAAATTAAACACGACATGTATGGAAGTAACAGAAGTCTAACACATTGAAAATGCTATGAACCTCACACCATTATCCGTTCTATTTTCTCTGCCATTTTCGATATTTATGTCTACATAAAAACATACTCAAAAAGTGTCTTTTTCCTGTGTTGATTGAAATACTAAGAGTACTGAAGTGTAACTCACTTTACGGTGCATTTGAATTCATTAAATAACAAGAAAATATGATACACGATGTACTGATCAAAGAAAACGTTAAAAAACATCATGAAATAGTAAAGTTACATTTTGGAAAGATAACCTTACTAACACTTCTCACGAAACAGTTACTCAAATGTCTGGAAGGTTAAAAGAAATTGACCATTTTTTACCCGTTCTTGTTTAGTTCTACGAGAAGACGTTTCTCTATGTTCTTCCTTTCAAAAGGGTTGTCTGCTATTGTTCAAGTGGAGTTTTAGATGGAAGTTTGTGTTTCATCCTTGAAGATTCAACGGAGTTTATTCATCTTATCGAAGTGGTTTGTAAATGCTTATCAACCTTGAAATAAACTCTATTAGGGTCTATCAGATCGAAGAATAATGTCAAAATAGCTGAATTACTAAAATCTGTAGTTTTTGAATTTCAAGAGAATGTTTTTGCCTTGTTTCAAGCAACCTCCTTTTTTTTACACACTTGAGTTTACTTTCTGAGATGAAAAACCCTTACTTATATTACTAGTTAAGTTCTATGATATAAATCATGAGTCTTTGAAGATAAAATACTTGTGCGAATAATTATTTAAACCTACTAATAAAACGTTAATGTTTTACTTTTCATATTTATAGGTTTTCGATGCTTAAAGCTACGGATGCAAGCCTACCGAAACCATTAAATAATTAAGAACTTATTCAACAACTTCCATTCTCCAAAACTTGACGCTTACCTAATCTTTTAAAACTGTTAAGACTGCGAGGGTTCATTTAAATACATATTAATGCCTTAAATTAACAATACCTTTCTCAGCCTTGCGTCCGTGGCTTTGAATTCAAAAATGGTTACACCTGTGCATTTATTTCTATAGATAATAAATATAACATTGTTGAATGCTACTGAAGCATTGTAAGAACATGCTGTGGAAACTTTATGAGGGGTATCTTCGGTGGCCAGTGTGTCTTTATGCTAGAACTTAAAAACACCACTACTATGTTCATGTAGATGATGCTCAATCTTCCAATTATGGATTAAAAACAGTTTTCAATAGGTATTCGAACATCTCCCGAACACTGGATAAGGCCCACTCAGTGCGTTTTGTAAGGACACTCGAAGTATTTACACGATACACACTAGACAGACACATTAGTAGTGTAACAGTGCGTGCATGATGCTGTAGGGTCGTGAATTAAATTCATTTGATAGAAAATAACTTGTAGGCCCATTGATGTTAAAGTAATTTCTCAGTATTTAGTCATTTGCGATTCACTATGCATGACTACGTAACGGTCTGGGGAATTTAATAAACATCATATTAGTTAAGTTCTGTCAAAGCATAAGAAAAGTTCATTTCTTGGAATAATAAAAAGGTGTCTTTTATCATCTTTCAGTAAAAAAACAAACTAACTAACTAAATAACCTGGAAATTTTAGAAATGTATAGAAGTATAAAACGAATCCAGACAAAGTTCTAAACGACCAAACCAACTTAAGCTCCTCCCACATTTTCCCCGTGTGAATGTCAAGGATACTTCTGGTTCTTCGGTTAAACATGTAATACACCTGTTTACAAGTTATTTCAGTCTGTACCTGATGGTTCCTTTACTGGCGAAACCATGGTGGTAATAAATGAAATACTTGTGAAACATACTATTGTCTGTAAATTAGATGACGAGGAACCCACTTTGAGATTAATAATGGTTGGAAACGGCTTGAATGGGTAATGAAGAACACAACAGCAAATGTAGAACGTTTGGACAATGTTTGATGATGTTGCGTTAAAC